TCCACATAATAATAAACACCCCTTCACCCCCCGTCCTTTAAAAAAAATCGCGTGTGCCCTCGAATATGTCATCCAATCGCTCACCCCCGGGCCACCAAGAAACAGTACAAGAGCGGCACTGGCATTGGCTTCAGTAGCCATTAGGGCATTGTGCTCTCTTTTTCCGTGCTGAGCAACGCTCAGCTTTAGACCAAGCAGCGTGTTGAAGAAGAAGGCGAACCCATATTTAATATTCAGGGGGTTTAATGTTAGGGGGAAGCGATTACTGATTCCGCCGCAGGTTGAAGGGAACGCGAATAATTGTTTCACCTTATAATCTGAGCTTCTAGAATTGGGGGAGGGTTGAAATTGCTTCGGAAGGGCAGCCTACGGGAGGGTGCACATTGTTTCGTCAGCATTGACTATGGGACCGGACTCACATTTTTGCTCGTGGGTTGGTTGACTTACTTGTGGTTAATACACTTATCTCCACTTGCCTGGCCTTGGCATGAGTACCATCATGCTCGGTGGTTGCGCCAACCAGTCCTCGGAAGATTATTTTTTGGGAGGTTTGTTCTTTTTTTTTAATTTTTTTTTTTCGGTTGGGGGGGGGGCGGGGTGCACGTTTCATTGTCGGTTGTGTGGTCCTTCCCTGGTCCTCCGGTCCTCTGCTCCTCTGGTCCGGAGATCCTCTGTCCCCAGGTCCTCTGGCCTCCCACGAGACTACTGTAAATTACAGCAATTTTATTTAGAGTTCTTGCAAGGCTACGCATACTGCAAGTTACAGCATTGGTGGCTCTTGAAAGTTACGAACATTGTAAATTACAGCATTGGAGATTTTGAGCTGCCTCCAAGAAGCCCTTGTGACACTGCCAAATGATGCTTTTTGCCACAGACTTCGACTCCGCATGCATACGCATGCGCCCAAATGCTACGTTAACCATCACTCGCAGCCTCCAAGCATCCCCTGAGACGCTGTGCGATGATGAAAATAGGCTGCTAAAGTACTCAAATGCTGGGTTTTCCAGTACTTGCTGGGCCCGGCACCAGCAAAAAAGAATGCCCAAAACAAAATAAGATAGATTCACACAACAATTCCGGGCCCATCCCTCTGTAGTGTTCAGCACTCTTGCATGGTCATGCTGCGAATATCCGCCACGCCATGTTACACCGTTACTCTTGGCAGATACTGGTTGCATTTATCCTCCCTCTGTTGTACTCGAGTGCTGAAGACCTGGCTTGCTTTCGTTGGCCCCGGCTTGATCCTAATGGGAAGCAACGAGGCGATTAGACATAACTAGATTGTTGATGCTGAGTTTATGTCGAACCTCTTGAGCAACACACCCTAGTGCACTTCTGCGGCGTTGGCATCGTCGACTCAAAACAATCCGAGACCACGAATGTTTGTGGATATGTTTGAAGAGTATGTACTGCATAGCATGAATTTTGCATGAAAGGGTTGGTATGCGTATACAAAGCAAAAGACACTCAGCAATCATTTGCGCTGTCTATGGCCCGCCCAAGTTACCAACCACAGAGCATTTCAGGACGCCAAGGTGGAGTTGGTTGAGTAGAAAGACAATCATCACTTTTCTGATGATGAAGCGATCGTTCGCACGGAGCTCCAGCCAGGCTACTGGCCACTATCATCGTGGGTAATGTTCATGCGCGGGCCGCAGGACGGCTTCACGCCTTTGGTTTTGGTGTTGTCTTTCGGTACCTGCGAAATGTTGCAGCATGGCTATAGCAGGACCTGCACCCAGGCGCTGGCTGTCATTCTTTTATGTTGGTTGTCATCGTCTTGACTGTGAAATGGCAGATGCTTAGCACATTCCTGTTTGGTGTACTGTGTGTGGACTGTGGCCTCGAAAGGCTCTCCCTTGCGAGCTGAATACCAGTTGCCACCTCAGCCGTGTATGCAAAAGCTGATTGCAGCCAGAGATTTCGCTCGTCAGGACAGGTCTAGACCTGCATGCACTCGGCATCACGGCTTTGCAGGTGCGGCCTGCGACACGTTGGGGAGTAGCTGAAACCCGTGCAAGGTTCAGGAGCCCTCAGCGTAGACTGCATTTTCTAGCGTGGAAGTGAGAAAGAAACAAAACGCTGGTTTCAATGGGTCTGAGTAGCAAGTCGTCATTGTGTGTTGCTATGCTGAGTTCAGGTACTTATGGAAATGTCGCCCCTGCTTCCCGTTGAAACGATGGGTTCGGCAGAGCATCGCCGCTTGCTGTGCACCTATCGGAATTTGCAGAATGCATGGTTTCGCTATTGGGAGGATGTCTCTACGTTCTGGGGATCGTTGATGAAGTGCTTCTCGAGCGGCGGCAACTGGATGATTTTGAAGGCTTCATGCATAGAGACCGGCCTAGACAAAGTTCTGAGCGGCCGGCTTGCTGACCTCAGAGGCACACTGGAAGAGATGGGACTTGCAGCGACGCACCTTTCTGAAGGCAAGGGCGGCCAACAGATGGAGGTTCTTGTTCGAACTCTACTGACTCTTCTCAGCAATGCGGATGAAGAGCACGGCAGGGAGCGACCGTCGGAGTTGCCAAAGCAGCAACCCCGTGTTTCGCAGCCCTGTGCGTATGGGCAGCATGGGCAGCGCGCCTCGCAGCCGCAGGCCCCAGAGCACGCGCAAACGCAGCCACAAACGCAGCAAACGCATGCAATGCAGTCACAGCAGTCACAGCAGTCACAGCTGCAGCACGTCCCCAGCGTCCACAGCGCACATCAGTGCAAGCCGCCCCACGTGCAACCCCAACCTCTGCTGCAGCAAATTTACCAACAAGCGCAGCAGAGACAGCGACAGTGGCAGGCTTGCAGTCAGCACGAGCGTATCATCCAGGAGCCATACCAAAGCATGCTCAGTGACAGGCACAAGCCGCCAGGTTTCGAGGACGTAAAACTGGCAGATACGCGCACACCAAGGTCCTCATTGACGAATACTGGTTCATCTCTGACTGTTCGTTGCACTGGGCCGCTTCTGGACACCTCTACACCTTGCGCTTGTGCTGGCACTTGGTCATCATCCGTGCTGCGGCAGCGATCTGCATCTCCTCTTCTGAGAAGGCCTTGCAGATCAGGAGCTCAGTCACCGTCGCAATACCAGGGGCCAATCTGGACAAAGCTCGCAGCGCAGGAATGCATACGACTCACCTCCACTGGCTATATGTGTTCCACTGCAACTACACCCGGCAATATGCAGCGCGATGTGGGTCTGGCAGGAATAAACATGCCTAATCATGGAGGTTCTTGGGCCACGCCCGGTAGATCAAATCCCGGGCCATGTTACTCTGGCGAAGTCCTGTTCAAGGGTGCTTGAAAACTAGCACTGCCTCATCTGCCAAATCAGTTCATTACTGACATTTACTGACAGCATTTGAGACAGAACTTGTGAGAATCTTGTAACAATCGCTCGGCTGCCCACTTTCATCCTCTGCTTGTCCGCACAAGCCGGGCTGGGGCACCAGAGTTGTCATGTAGCGTTAGGTTTTGTTAGTGCCCATGTAATGCTTACTTTCGATAACACCTCGCATGCTGCGTCTAGAAACCTGCGCAAGGCTTGAGGGTTGATTTTGTTTGTTGGATAGTTTTGTGGCTGATGTCTTGTGGTCCGAATCCTGATTCGCATCTAGCAAGCGCGGGATTCAGCTGTTCGCTGCTTGTTCTGGGAGTGCTGCCGGTCTACAGGTCATGGGCAATTTTTGAGTGACTGCTCAGCGCGTCTTCGGTTCAAGCAGTCCGTCCACCAGAAAGCCAGCTTTCATACTGCATGCTCTGGTTGTGCAAGCTGCTCTGAACCTCGCAAGCCGACAAGTGTACCAGAAGACTTTGCTCCGCGACCTTCGGCCAACAGATGGCCTACAAGTAGCTGCCAAAGCTGCACGCAATGGATGCATTTAGACGGCTAACATGATCCCCGCGGCTGGATCCGCCCCAAAGGTGGGACGGCCATGTTTGTCAGCATTAAATTCTTGGGGTTCTCATACAGAAAGGAAGGGTGGCACCCAGTTTCCGGCTCTGGGTGCTGTCTGGGTGCCAGGGCGCTGTTCAGGAAGAAGGGCAATCGGTACCCAGTAGTCTTCTCAGGTGCTGTCCGGGGATCTTTGATTGTTTACCCAGCTATGTGGGATTTTGGCTGGCGTAGTTTTTCGAAGCCGGCCATGCTTTGAGTAATTAGACTAGACGTAGGCTCAGTCCGGATAGCCAAGATGTCTTGACGCTTGAAATGATTCTGACGGCACCCCGCCATCAGCTTGTGGATTCTGAGAGAACAGATGTTCACACCTGCAATGATGGAGCGCATAAGGGTGCTCAAGCGCAATTCGTGCTTTCTGATGCGCATTTGGAGACGGAATGGCTTCCTCCAACAGTCTGCACACCTAGAATCGACCTAGAACTCTTGTGTTTGCTTAACACATGGAATGATTGGAGAGATCCTTACTGGCAGAAAGTGCTCATGTGTGGTGTTGTCAGAGCTCAGCATGGAAGACTTTGCGTCAAGTATGTTTCATGTTGTTGTGTCCTTGCTTTTGGTTGCTTTCGGCAAGCAATCGACAGAGCTCAGCAATGCTCTGCACACACCGCTTTGGTCCAGCCTGTCTACATCAGGCCCGACGACGATACTCAAGCTGGAGTCAGCCCTTGCCAGCAGCTGTTGAGCTTGGCGATGCAGGTTGCAGAGCAGACATGCCTGGTTACTGAGTACCTTGTGGGTAGACCAGTCCAACAGGCGAAGGCAAAATTTCAAGCTCCAGCTCTTCGTCGTGTGCATCTGACTCCGAGGAGGAGGATCTGATCCCAGTGCACAAGGCCATCCGTGTACACTCACACTATCTCACAATCTGCAGCAGCAGGGCAACGGTATACATGAGCACGATCAACATGAGTTGCTTGCACCTTTTCAGGTGCACAGTTTACCACCCGAAAAGTCGGGAAATGGGGGCTACGCGGATCTCGAGATGCGGAAGGCACAGTCATTCTCTATTTGCAATGGCCATAGGATTCCTGCCGGACACTCTGATTGGAGGTTCGAAGCCTGTCGTCGAAGCAGCCATTGCGTCAGTCTCAACTACGGAGTATTCTTGAAGAGAGCGCTCAGATAGACAAGGTGCCGCTTGGCTGCTGGCATGTGCTCGCAGTATTCTGCCATGGAGCAAAGAGTAACTACTTCGCCGGAATCTGTGACTGGCTGGCATCATTATAGCCTTAGAGCCTGCAATAGACATGAGCGAGAGGCAACCTATACCGCAAGAACCTCACAGAATCAAGGGAGATGCCTAAAGCCTTGGGCAAAGGCTCCACGTTTGCGCACAGTGCTGATCAAGCAAAAGAAGAGGGTGCAAAAATCTAGGCTCACATTGGTAGGTAGGCTTCTGCTCCTCGAACACTGCGGATCGCTCAGCCAAATTCCAGGGTTTTCCTTTTCAAGTCACAGCAGTTTGAATCATTGAAAGGTTGCTGCTGGCTAGTTTCTGTTGGAAGCGGGTAGAGAAGCGGCTTTTTCTGCATCGGGCCACAGGGTTCCTCCCGAGGACGGATAACAGATGAGCAAGGTTTCGACTTCTGACTTCTGCTACTTTCTGTGCTTTACTTGTCTACCTACACGGAATTTTTGATCCTTATTGCCATCGACACAAATGCCAAAAAGTGAGAGATCGAGAAGCTGGAAAGCCGAACAAGAAGCCGGCAACAGATAATGAAAGTGCTTGCACTTGCACATTTGCCATCGACACAATAAGATTTGTCTGGAATTTGCACGAGAGGTTGCACAGTCAGTCCGGAGAGGATCAGCATGGCTACCTCGCCACGAACACCCTGAAAACTTCTGCAGCCGACAAGGCCAGCATGCATCGCTGCTTGTGTTGGTTGCTTTGCCAGAATGAACCGTACCCCGCATGCTTCCTAAGCTCCTGAATGCAGAAATGATTAGTTATAAGCCGTTCCAAGTTCATGTTGGATGGCCGCTGCGTCAGCAAAACTCGCCTCCTGTTTCAGTATCATAGTCAACCCTAAAGTTTCTAAAGGCAGAGTGACTGGCTGTTCAAGTTATAAACTACATTAGTCATAGTGCTGCCTCAGAAGCCATCGAAACAAGAGATAGTCACATGGAGCACCGGGCACCCGTATTCAAAACACAATCCAAACAAGCGGGCTAGAGAGCCACAGCTGCCACAGATTGCCATAGCAATATCTTGCTTGCACGGAAGAGGATAATAATTTTCCTGGACCATTAAAATCATGGGATCCTTAAGGAGGCCCCTTGTATGGGGGACCTATAATTAAGCCTTTTGAAGACCTCCTTAAGGTTTTGCAAGGCTCCCTAGGGTCCAAAAAGATCTCCTATTATGGGGCCTCCTTACACGGGCCCCCCCTTAAAGCTTCCATAATAAAAATGTGATCTACTGATCTACTGGAGACTCGGCTTTCGCATGCGTCTGTTGCATGACATCTTAGAATGTTTCCTGACAAAGGTGCTTTAGGTGGACCTCATGTTCATGTGCAGCAGGGTTATTTTCAAGCGGTTGAAAGTCAGAGCCGAGCTAGGAATTAAAACTGCAATCAGCCTGTACCTCATAGACAATCCATTTCTAGGTAACATGGCTCCTGGAAGGTCCATGAAATCCCAGGTTTCAACTTGAGGTTGCAACCCAGAGCCCCTATAATTTGTTGGGGTCAGTGGCCTTGGAAAGACATGTTGGCAAAAAAGCCGGGAAGGGAAAGACGGTTCTCCCACAGAAATTGATTGCTGTCACTGCCACACAAAGAAAGCACCATTGCACAGCCGCGAAAGACGCGCTGCGTTCTAAGATTAAAAGGGTTTGTTTGCAGATTGAAGCCCAAGCTGCGCCACAATGTTGTGACGTTGGAATCCTGATGTTTGGCACGTCTGTCACAGTCCCGTGCCAGTATCATGCCAATGCTGACACTCTTTTTTTTGTTTCTGCCTGATGTCCGTGACATGTGCCAGGGCCTAGGCTCCGTGTGAGTCGTCCGATTTGGGATAATTTGCGGATAATCTGCATGTAGGCAGCCTGTTGAAATGTTTGTGGTGCGCTTGATCAGGTACCAAGGAGAGGAATGCCCCTGGAAAGAGCAGACAGACGGCGCTCGCAGACGTTCAAGAGTATTACCGTGCCGGACGAGGTCTTGCAGGTTCTTGACAGCAGCTCCCCTGACCATGAAGAAGAGTATGGAGAGACGGGGCCTCAGTGCAAGTTTGTGTTGATGGCAGGAATATTTGATTGAGTTGAGCCATGTTGAGCTAGCAGGTATGAAAATCTGCGTTCAATTTAGCTGTCACAGGCCAGTGAAGGCTTCCCAGACGTCTCAAGGATGCTGCACTTCTATTCACATGGAATGCAGAAGCTCAAGGATCTGGACATCTTCTTTGCCCGTTGCACCCAGCACACAGGATCTATTGTGTTGCCTTTCAAAGACGGAATCAATTCAGCGGCCGGGATGACTCAAGGACATGTGTGCAGAACCTGAATGTCAAAGCCAAACAGAAAGAGAATACGAATACGGTCGGCCTGGCAAGTCTGACAAGTCCTTTACAGTCCCTTTTTGCTGTGTTGCGCATGTCTTTCTCAGTATGCCATTTGCATGATCGAATCACCCGGTGATTCGGTAACATCCGCGTCTCTGCAGACCAGACACTTTCCAAATCTCCTGGGTGTAAGCCCTGCGCACGCTGGTGGGGCCGCAAGTGACCAGAACTTCACTCATGCTTTCCTGGCAAAACCTCTCTCAGCTGCATTGCTTGAATATGATGCCGATGCCTGTAGCAACATATCCATGGCTGCGAGCGGTGTTATCGATTTGCATGAAGGGCGTCGCGCAGCTCATTTAGACTTTCTGCTTGGGGAGAGATCAATCAAGCGGGCACGCGACCTGGAATCAGACTTTGGCAGTCTCAGGCCACAGAAGCGAGAATGGTGGATTCCAGGGTTGTGGTGGGGAATTCAGGAAGGACGGACATGTCAGAGCCGTAGCATTTTGCAAGGTTGCACTCCAGCTGGTTACAGTAAGCCACCGAGAGTGCTGATTTCAAACTCGACAAGGTCGGAAAGGGGGGCGTGCAGCTTCCTTTTTTTTGTTGTTTCGCGCACCAAATTCATTCTGAAGTTTCCAATTTGGGGTTCAACGCTTTCGGGTTCAGTCACGGTAGGGCCAACGATGACTGACTGGCCCATCCCTGGCGGATTCCTGTCGAATCAGTACCGAAGCATCCGAAGTGATTCAATGAGGTTTGCAGTTCATTTCACGGACTTTTTGCTCCATTTCCGCATGTGCTAAGTTCGGAACGACCTACGGGCCCGGTCAGGCCAGGCAAGAAAGATCACTCCTGGTTGGTGTGAGATACCCTTCCGATAGGCGCCGGTCCGGAGCATTGCGTCCGACTCTCACGGTCTGGCACTCGGTCAGTTCAAAGATTGGACATGGTTTGGAGCTGATAGTCTCACCACATCTCTTTCATGAGTGGTAAGGGATGAGTCCTTTTGTGTAGGCTGTAGTTGTGACTCTTCCTGCAGGGGAGCTACTGCAGCTTGGCTTCCTCTATTTGCATTGGCTTCTAAGTGGAGCTCCTAAGTATTGTCATATATTGTCATGGTCTTGACGCCGCCAACTTTCACTCAGTCAGCACGAAGAGAGGCTGTACCAGCTACAGCTACAGTAGATGTTCCCGCACATCCCTGCCAAGAGCTTGTAATTCGAATTTTCACGTCATGACGCGAGTCACCTGCCCAGCCATCGGAAAACAAAAGTTAGGCGAGTCAGGAACCACAGGTGCGAGTCGGGAACCCGCGTGCCGGGAACCCTGAGGGGCGAGTCGAGAAAACGGGAGTGGCGAGTCAGGAACCTGCAAGCGGCGAGTCGGGAACCCGCGGGGAGCGGTACCCGCCGCGAGGGTTCCGGTCGCGTTGGTCGTGTCGGTCGTCTTGGTCGTGTTGGCATGTTCGAGGATAGTATGGAAAATTGTCAGGTATCTGCCGAATTCCACAATTCAATGCCAATTAGACCATACTAGACCCCATTCTTGCGCCCGATCCCGCCCGCGCCCTGTGTGCTCGCGCTCGCGCCCCCTCAACATCCCTCAACATGGCCAGGGATAGTATGGAAAATTGTCAGGTATCTGGCGAATGCCAAAAATTCAAGATAAGACCCCATCCACCGCGCCCGACCCCGCCCGCGCTCCGTGTGCGTGCGCCCGCGCCTCCTCACCCTCTTCACACGGGCCTCTATGGCCGCGAAAAAGCACGATTCACGCACCAATCCCGATTCACGCACTACGCTTCAAGCACCAACGATTCAGGAACTATCTATCCGATTCACGCACCAACGATTCACGCACTACGCCAGACCGATTCACGCACCAAAACGACCCGACTCAAGCACCAAAAAAGGCCGATTCATGCACCAAAAGGAGCGATTCAAGCAGCAACAGCTCAGAAGGATCTGGCTTTTGCACCAATCCAGAAGAGGCTTCAGGGCTTGGGGTTTAGGGTTTAGGGTTCAGGGTTGGTTTGGGGCTTGGGTTCAGGGTTCAGGGTTTTGGGTTCAGGGTTTAGGGTGTAGGGTTTTGGGTTCAGGGCTTAGGGTCTAGGGTTTAGGGTTCAGGGTTTAGGACGTAGGGTTTATGGTTCGGGGTTGGTCTAGAGCTTAGGGTTTTGGGTTCAGGTTACCGTTTAGGATTGGGGCTCAGGGCTTAGGGTTTAGGGTTCAGGGTTGGTTCAGGGTTTAGGGTTCAGGGTTTAGGGTCTAGGGTTTGGGGTTCAGGGTTTCAGGGTTTAGGACTTGGGGTTTGGGGTTCAGGGTTGGTTTAGGGTTTTGGGTTCAGGGTTTTGGGCTTAGGGTTTACGGTTCGGGGTTTAGGGTGTGTCAGGCGGGGGCGCGCGCTGTGAAGCGCCCCGGGCCGCGCGCTCGCGTTGCTTGTAAACCCACCCCGGCCACCCAAACTATATTCTATTAGGGTTTAGGGTTTACTTAGTCACTTATGTCACTTCTTCTGCACGTCTCTGAACTTCTTCACGTAGATGACGAAGTGTAACGAGCAAATTGTGGTACTTGGTTCCATTGAACATATTTACTTGGATGACGAAGTGTAGCAAGCAAATTGCGGTACTTGGTTCCATTGAATTTCTTTACTTAGCTCGGTTCTGTTTCATTTGCAATTATAACTAGAGCTTGCTAAAGCTGAGTATCTCGGGCAGGGGGGAGCCTTCGGCATGCAAAGCCCCGCATGGGCTCGGAACCGAAGGCTGCCAACAAATGACCCTCAACTCATAACCGATCATCTCGGGCACCGCTCCGGTTGGGGGTAGCCTGCAGGGGCCCGAAACCAACATGCGTCAGGGGAGCCTTCAGGTCGCGGTTAAGGTTTAGGGTTTAGGGTTTAGGGCCCCAGTGTGTCAGCACCTCCATGACACTTTCCCATCGGTTTCCTTTGGCTAAGGCTTTTAGTTGGGCAGGGTGGAAAGTGGTTACCTCCATCAACCTCCTCGTTGATGAAAAATTCGATATTATCTCTGGCCCGCAGACCGCAATTTTTCAAGTACTTCATCGGGTACATTTGCTGTCATGTGCTATCGTTTGCAATACCAAATCTCGCGCGATTTGGAGCTTGTTCCGCTTTGTTTCTGCCCTGACGCAACGGAAATGCTATACTCCGCGTAGCCATCTCTGGCTGCAGGTGGAGTTAGCGTTGGAGATTCTGTTCTCCCACCTGCCATCCCCTATGCACCTCCTTGCGTTGGATTTCTGTACTTCTGTACCTTTGCTTTCTGTGATGGGTTGGGCTGGAAATCCCACCCATACTGTACGCAGTAGTGCTCCTCCGCCCGGAGTCTGAGCACGCTGCCTCTCTGTCTCTGTGGTCTGTCTCCCTGACCTGACCACTGGACTTTGCCACTCGCTGCCCCAGCCCCTCCGCTTGGCGCAGCATGCGGGATTGCCGGACCTGCGACCCCACGACCTAGCGCGAGTGGCTCAAGATAACGAAGCGAGTGATTTCGAGCTAGCCCTGCAGCAAGCCGTCCATGAAGCCGGGCGTGGAGCATTCCGTGAGAACCCACGGCGCAGCGGGCACTGGCAAGATCCATTGGAAGAGTCTCTTCCTGGTTGGATGGGTTTTGACTGACGCATGTTGTTTCCAAGGAGCCCGTCTCAAAGTTGCCAGAAATGGCCATGCTGCCCAGCCCGGTTTGCGGCCATACCCACTCACCTGACGACTGGCAGCCCGTGTCTCGGGGAGGGTCCACGGAGTTTCCAACAAAGGACGAAGCCAAGTACACCGCCAGCTTGGTCTTCACTATTGTGGTGTGCGCTAGCCACTGGGCCACGCAGCGTGGGTTTGCAGTCCCACGACTTCACCAGCTCCCTATGGCTCCCTCCTACGGAGACCTCAGGTGACCGCGCTTCATGGTTATGCACAGGACGCTCCTGCTGATGTTCTCTATGTGGGCCATGGGCACTTTTCACACCGCCTGTCAGCTGGGCCATGGGCAACTCCTTTCAAGATTGGCCAGCACGGCTCCGCGTTCGAAGCTCTCACGCGTTTTCTTGCACGGTTTCCTTCCTCGCCGAAGGCGAAATCCATTCAGCAGCTCACTGGCAAACGCTTGGCGTGTGATTGCCCTCTCAACCAGCCATGCCATGCAGACGCGCTGGTTCCCTTCAGGCTCTGGAGAGCGAAACAGCTGAGGGAGCCTAAGGAAGAAGCATCCAAGCTCCTGGAAGTGCTGGGGAGAGGCAGAAAGGGACACAGGAGGAAGGGCTGCTTTGTGGCTCTCGCCGGTTGGCCGCGCTGGCCTGAAGGAAGACACGCCAAAAATTTGGGGCCCAAGAGGCCCATCGAAGGGGAAATTTTAGCCGCAAAATTGTCGTGTTGGCAGGAAGGGCCAAGGCAGATTGACGTCGAGGCAGGCCAGCAAAGAGGATGCTTCCCCTACAAGGGCAGCTTGACTGATTTCCACAGGGACACCGCGGACGACACGAATTTCTGAGGACATCAGGGCGGCTGTCTTACCCGCAAGAAGCGCCAAATGCGCGGCTGGATTCTTGCCAAATTTAGGAGGCTGCCGCTCTCGCAGCGCTTGTGAAACAGGCTGGAGACGCCAGGCGAGCGCCCGCGTGCCCTCCATGCGGGATTGGCGCCATGCTGTGAGATTGGACTCTCGACATCAAGCTCATGCTGTTGTCGTGGCCGTGGCCAGATGTTACCTTTGTCTCGGGGCTTCTCCACGGCTTCCCAGCAATCGGCTTTGCGCCCCCCTGTGGCTTCCCAGCCAACACCCTGGTGTACACTGCAAGAGTCCCTTGTGTCCGGTCCACGCGACGCTCCGGCTTTGCTCGGCCAAGTTCGTGCAGGTGAGAATGATGACTTTAGGCTTCAAGGATGAGGCCAATGGCTGGTGTACTCCAGCCCAATCCGCCTCCTCCCTGCCCTCGCGCGGCTTTCGCCTGGTGCGACGTTTCTGCATCGTGCAGTCTTCTGGGAAGAAGAGGGTCATCAATGATGCCAAAGGAGGCGGCCAGAGCGAAGGAAGCAGTGATGCAAGCAAGCTCCAATTTTGTACGGCGCTGCAGCCATGCGCCCAGCTCCTCGCGACTGCGTATGGCTGAGCAATCAGCAAGTGGTTACCTATGGCGAAGATCTTCCCGATGCATACCGGAGGATCCCCATGCTGCCTGACGACTCTTGGGCATGCTTGGTGGTTTATGCTCACCAAGGGCAGGTGCCACAGCGTGCTCTTTGGACTGCCCCTGGCTGTCTCAGCTTTCAATTGTCTCCCCTTCCTACTGCAAGCTGTCGTCCGTAGATGTCTTGCTATTCTCTGGTGTTTCTACTTCGATGATGCAACAGCGCAGGACTTCGACTTTGCAGCAGCTCACTCTCAGGCCATGGTTGAAGAGTGCGTGGCACTTCTGGGCTACGCCTTCGCTGAGACTAAGCAACAAACCTCTTCCCCCAAGTGGATTTCTTGGGCATCGTTCATGACCTCCAAGACAGCGTGTCCAAGGGGAACATTCCACTTTGGATTTGGCCCCGTCTGATCGACAAGATCCATGACCTCATGGACACTGCAGAGACGTACAACTCCTTGCCACCTGGTTTGTCCAGCAAGCTTTTCGGCTGTTTAGGTTTCTTGACCAAGGATTCAGGAGACAGGCCATACCCCCTTAGATCAGGCCCTGCATCAGGCCTTCGTCACGGTAAGATTTGTGTTGGCAGCCCGACCCCGCCGAGTGGTCTCGGTCTTTCCGTCTTCAGCGCCCTGCGTGTGCGCAGCCTCACACGCGGCTTTTGAAGGGGGTCCGGAGGCCTTCTGGTGCTAAGCCCTTCCGGCCAAAGAATGGGTACAGTTCCCCTGATCGATGGACAAGTCCTAGGGCTGTGGCCTGATGACCAGGAGGTGGTCATCGCCCAGGAATTGCTGATGATTTTGCAGGGTCTCCTGACCTTTCCGGATGCTTTTCGTGCCCGGTCTGGAATCTGGTGGGTAGACAACGTCGCCGCGCTCATGGCGCTGGTTAAAGGAACCGGGCGCAATTCCAGCTTGGACGATATAGCCCAGATGATCCACGTGCTGTTGTTTCATCTCCAGGCGCACCTATGGTTCGAATGGATCGAGAGCAAGTCTAACTGGACCGATAGCATTTCCCAATTGGGAATGCCTGACCCTTTCTGGCGTTCACAGGCCTTCGCCGTCGCACCGTCGCTTGTCCTCACGAACTTCGGTTCGTGTCACGAACCTTTGGAGACTGCCCATGGCTGTGCTCAGCACAGTCTTCAGTTTTCTCTAAATACGTTGGGAGCCTTAATGCATTGGGAGTTCCAGGTCGGATTGACCTGTGGTCCTGGGCAGGATGGGTCACCGTTGTGACCACCCCTCCGGACTGGGGGGGCTACCAATTCAATGTAAATGGAGAGCAGCCTCCATGCTGTACATATCAAGAGCTGCATTGCTGCGCAGAGAAGGAAAAAGGAGCAGACTAACTTACTGTAACCAAATGTGTTCTGCTTTGTGTTAGGGCAGGCTTGGTGAGCAGACTTCATTTGTTGCTGCAACGTTTCGGCTGAAACATAGCCAAAACGGCAGATGCCTCCTGTCGTCGCTACTTTTTCTTTCCCACCCCCCCATCCCTTTCATCATTCGATTTTCATCTCCGTTCCGAGTTCTTATCAACCCCCTGATGAGTTCTCAGCGGCACGGGCACGGATGTGCTTCACCAGTCCCGGCCTTTCCACATTGCAGGGTGGTGTGGCTACCATGCACACTGGAAGTTTCCAGAGAGGCACGGTAGGGAGTTCCAGGTCGGATTGACCTGCGGTCCTGGGCAGGATGGGTCACCGTTGTGACCACCCCTCCGGACTGGGGGGGGAGGCTACAAACGGGCTGAAACATTTGGTTTTCCCGCTTGCGATGTGCCATGCAAGACGATAATGATTGAGGTGGCCATACACACGGACTCTATTGCGGCCAGCATCGAGGCTGACGAGGAGGCCTGTGGTTTCAGGGAACTTCGGGAAAGGAGTTGGGCAGGCAGAGCTCTGCACTGGCAGGCGCAGCGCTTCCTGGAGCCTGGCTTTGGTGCACCAGCGCCTAAGCACCCCATGGACAGGCCAGTCACTGAGTCATAGCAAATGGTATTTACAACTTGACGCACCAGATCACAAGAACGTGAGGAATCCCGAAATGGAGGCTCAACGCGCAGCGGCCATCGAGAAGGTGTCTGCTAAACTCTGCCACAGCATTCAGCAGAGACGTGGCCACGCTACCACTCAAGGTGGCCTTCGCTGCGCGAAAGGTTACACAGAAACTGGAGAAGCAGCAGCAGGCAATGGTGACTTGACTCCGCTAGACCGCAAAATAATTGAGCAGCCTCATGAAATCTAGCAAGAGGGAAAGTAGCCGATGTAACATTGTACATTCGAAGCGGGCATGGGCCAATCTCTTGGGCAGGCCATGCTTGCAAGACGACGCAAGCGTTACCAGTGCGCCCAACATGTGACATTCACGCATGTTCAGCTCACTCATTGTGTGTAGGTGATTGCAGGTGCATTTGTCTGGTAGCCTGTCAGCATGGGCAAAGCAGGAGTGCGCCAGCAGCACAGCTCCTGAGCCAAGCCCGTTCCTATCTTGGAAGCATGTGGCTGCAAATGCAGTCAAGCGGAGCTGGGGCTGATTGCAGTTAAGGTGTGGCTGTGGAAGAGGCATCAAGCGAGCCCTTAGAACACAACTCAGTCGCAGGCCGAACTGATCAGTATGCTGATGTGTGCTATTGTATGCTGCTAAAGATGCACAAGGCAGACGTGACAAAGTCTGACACATCTGGACTCTCGTGCAAGGTGGGGTACCCGCAGTTGTGATTTTCGATTGGGTGCTGGGCTTATCTTGCTGCGCAGCTGAGTGCGGAATGGGCTTCATGTTGCAGTCATTGCGAAGATATGAACAACTGCGTAGCATCTAAGGATGATACGCTCTTCCCCACTCGGCATGTCACAGAAGTGGTGAAAGCCGTCCATTCGAAGGCAAGTCTGCGCATCGCTTTGCGAAGTTGGTTGCATCACGCTATGAACCTGTGGCTTCTGACATGACTTTCCACTGAGCTTCACTGCGCTTTCCAGGAAGGTCCACTGCCACCGGAATCGCCTTTCTACGCCGAGTTGAAAGACCCTCACTGAGAAGAGTTAATTGGTTCCTGGGATTTCCTGGGTCATGAATGCTGTGCTGGCTTACGTTGATTCGAGGCTCACGCACAAGTCGTGGAATCCACTCTGCTAGCTGCACGAGAGGCAGCTTCTGTAGATGCCGTCGCGAAAGTCCCCTGAGCCCATCTGAGAGCATCGGGCGCAGGTTGTCGGCCGCGTTAGCATCGTGACTCTCGCTCGGCGGCCGTGGGTGGAGACTTCCGCATCGTGGTCAGCTCTCAAGCACTGAGTATAGAAGGACGATCTTTTGTGGAGTCGACCAATCCCTGGCCTGCAAGTTCTCATTGCTTGCAGTTTGTTTGCTCCATTCGCATTTAAGAATTCGCTCATTGTAATTGTTAGAGTGCTATAGAGCTCCGCCCAGCTTTGACTCGCTTCCATGGGTCGACTCGATGGTCATCTTGTTTCATTTGCAAAATACCTTCCCTCCCTCGCTACATTTCAAGCCGTTTCCCTCTCCTCCCATCCCATGTGCTCCGTGGAGCCACCATTTTCGGAAACGCTAAGGGTAGACCATAATGTAAAGCAAAAGTCAGACATTAAGGCTCAAGCCATACTTTAAAGCGCCCAAGAAGTCTGCGCAGGTCTCCGCTCCTAGCAAGCGGCACTTTCTCAGCCATGATTCTTGTAGACATTTATGTCGATCTTTGGCAAACAGCATTCCTAACGTGAAGGATCTCGGATGTACGTAGTTCACTTTCAGCTTGCGCCAAGATGCTTCTCGTCAGAAGCTTGTAAAGCAGGTATCTTCCTGGCGTCGACTTTGAGAAGCTTATGCAGGCAGGTCTTGTGACGGAGTTGGGAGGTGTGGAATCAGCGCACTGCAAAATCTAATGCAGCTTGCATCGCTGTGTCTTGAAGTTATTGCCCCTGGCCACTCTGTGTGGCCCAGGACCTGGAAATCGAGGTGTTCTATGCCCGTGAACACATCACTCGACCTCACATCTACAATGCTGCTTTTCTTGAGTTTTGCTTCGCTTCATTCATCCTCTGGATTTTGCCAGGAAACTAACAAGAGTTCAGAGCTCCTAGATGCTCCTAGACAGAGGGAAAACCTATCAAGGCTTGTCGTGGCTATGCCGCTGTGCCATCCCATACTACTCATTTACTTGCAGATGATCTACGCACAAGGGAGCCAGCGGGTGTTGGGGCTTGGAGGTCATTGAATGAAACAGGCGTTGCCTTGACAAGATCCTGCTAAACAGAAGGCTCAGTTGGAGGAGGGTGTCGACATGTTCGTGATTGCGAAACGGAACGCACAGCACTTGGTTACACACATGTCAACGGAAGCCTTGCGGTTGACGGTTTCATATTTAAGGCAGCTGCATGACTTGCAGCCCGAGGCCATGCTCAAGTGCTTGCGTAAGATCTACGGCTTGAAAGCCAAGACCAGAGCTCAGAAGCTTCAGATGTGTGCCAACGGTTTCATGCTTCATTTGTTTTATCACAGGGCTTTTGGCCGTGTCAAGTGGCAGTGAGTCAGCTGAGTCAGCCTGCCACGGCCGACTTAGCTCTCGGAACAACTTTGGCTTGCCTTGAGCCATCCTGTCTGTGTTATTGATTGCTTGCATATGGACCGTGTTCAAGGAACTTAGCTCTTGTCACCATTTGAGGCCTTCAAATGTTCTCGCATCCAATTTTGTTTTCAGGGTGCTTCCGACATCATTCCTTTTGGTAGTCAATGTGGTCCATGACAAGGACGATGCATGTGATCTGCGTGGGCGACTCCACGGTCGAACATCTTGCCATCAAAGAGGCCGGATGCTGTATTACCATCACATGATATCCCATGGTACGCCCAAACCTGCAGTTCGGGTGGTACAAGGCGCCAGTTGCTTGTCGCTGAGTTGTGCGGAACCTTCATGGTTTCTAGCAGCAGGTGCTGTGGTGCTGCCCACAGGACGCCATGTTGCCGCTGGTGAGCGTGGGAAATGAATGCCATGCCATGCGCAGCAAGCTGTGATGCCAGTCTTTGAGCGCCGAGGAGGCCGGCAGCTTCTGCAAGACCATCAAACTGATGCTCGGAGCCCTTTTCACGGCTGCAGAGCTTCTCCTGAGGAGCATGCTCCTGCGTCGGGGCAAAGATGTAGGTGATGCGTAGGACACATGGTTGCACAGGTCAAATGAGGCACACTGGTCTGTAGACCGCGTTGGAAAGTTTCTGCACAAACGTTAACTTGGAACCAACCTGCTTCTGTAGTTGGGCAACGGACGCACTGATTTAGATTGCTGTTCCCAGGTCAGATCCATCGGTGCAGAATCTTACAGAGGAGTTGCAGGTGCGCCACCAGCTCAAAGACTGCAAGCAAGACCCATGACTTGCTGATGTGACTGAACTGACATATGCAATGATGGTGCAGGTCCTGAGTTCCTGGCTGCAGCAAATTGTCACTTGCGCAAAGGACTTTGACATCAGCCCGCAGCCTCAGACTTGTGCATGCCTGCAACGCACTGTACGGCCATTCAGAAGAGTCTCCGGGCTGGCAGTTTTTTAGGGTAACCTAACCTCGGGCACTTGGGCCCTTCGGGTATAGTTGCTCATGACTGGAACATTTTCTCAGTATGTACTAAGCCATGGCCCCCTCGGCGACTGGCAGCTCTGCTTCTGCGCCGCCTTCTGCGGCGCTATCGCGCTGCTGGACCTTAAAGCCAGGTCGAAAGAGCCATTGGGCGCCATTAGCGCAAAACATTTACGCGAGTCGTCAACGTTGCCTGGGCCGCAGGGCCGCCTACTGACAAGGAGCCTCGCAACAGTCTTTGGAAGCCGCCTACTGACAAGGAGCCTCGCAACAGTCTTTGGAAGCCCTCGCTCCCAGTCGTGAAGCTGCGGTGTCGTCGCGGATTGCTCCCGGTTTCTGGCCTGGCTCAGCAGCCGCTCCACACCTGCTAGGTTTGCGGCTTGCTCGTGGCCGGCTGCTTCAATAGAGCCCATCCCCGCTGCGTGTGCTGCTCATGGGAGCAGTGCAAGGCCCTCGCGGACTTGTAGTGCTCTCGTCAGCCCTCCCCTGCTTGGAAAAAGGTCTCCGCCAAGCTGCGTGCTTAGCACTGACATGGTGCCGCTGGGCCTCACCTGCCGGTCAACCAAGTGCTTGCCGCTGCTCGCAGCTTTCGACGTAGGTTGCTGCCGACCTCGCTGCTGCTGTCCGCCTCTTGGCCTTCGGGCTGCTCCTCGAGAGCTTGCGCCCCATGTGGGGGGGATCCCGAAGGGGGATGACGACGTCCGCCCTGCTGCTTACGGCGTCTTCTAGCTGTGCCTTTCCCAAACCTTCAAGGAGCCTCTGGCTGTTGCAGCTCCGAGTGGCTGTCCTGCTCGGCCGTGAGGCCGTTGTGCGCCCTGTTCGCCAGTGGGCCACCCGCAATGCGAGCCACGCCGCCAAAATTCAGCAATGCCCTCAACACCGTGGACCGTGGTGCTCTGCTCCAGCAGCTTCGGCTGTGTTTGCCCGGCCTCTCCCTGTGGGCTGAGTGGACCTACCATAGCCGCTTGCTTTTCGGCGACTCCTCATCTTGTTGGAAGCGCCTCCACTGGCCTCTGGCCGCCTGACCTTGTCCGTGCTTTCCTTGTTGATGACGGTTGTCTTGCCGCTCAACCCGGAGAAGTGCGAGGTTGTTACCTGTGGTGGGGTTTGACCACAGTGTTGACATGTGTCTCTCTTGTTTGCTGGTGTCACGTCAAGCTAAGCTCCTCGGGCAGTTCTCTGTGCGTGGAGCACCCATCGGCCCGCCGGCCTTCTGCGGGGGCTTCCACCATGAAAGAGCATGTGGAAAAGGTCCGCCCCTCTTTTCTGAGCTCGCAAGTCTGCCCGACGCGCAGACGGCCCTCCACCTTTTGCGCCATTGTGTTCTGGCTCCGGAATCCTATTTGTTTAACTCTTAGACATGGCCGAACAGGCACGGACATAGCTGACAGAAGCAGGGGCCAGCTTGGGAAGCCTCGGACCAATCGAGAGTTTATGTCAAACCCCTGAAGTTGTCATGACTGACTGTTCTCGCAGATAAAGCCGACCACACCACAACATGATATCAATTGCCTGGAGTGCCATCTTTGTCAACAGCTGCAGGCTTCGAATCAGAGGACTTCATGGAGAATATGGCCGTTACACTTAATGGTGATGCTGGCTAACAAAATGTGGAGCCTGAAACTTGGTACCACAACCGCCGCAATTTTCCAAAGCAGAGCCACACATGTAGCGAGATCTCGAAGAACGTTTGGTGGGTTTATGTCCGCCAGTGAACGAAGCAGCTTCACCTGCAAGGCTTGCACGCCACAAGCTTCCGTAAACTATCTTCAAGCCTTGAGCCATACAAGCTTGGCATGCAAGATCCGTGTGTGTTAAGGACTGTTCTTAGTAAAGCTTCAGTTGATGAGTTGAAGCTGCATCGGAGTTTCACCGTGTAGATTTGCAGGACAGCATGGTCTGGCCAAGCTGGCCGTAACACCGCATCCGCATCAGTCCGCATGTCAGCCTTGAACGATTGAGCGATGCGAGTTGTTGGTTTGGGAGCTGGGGTGCCCAGGCCGGTTCAAAAGCTTCAGAGTTTCAAGCAGCCAGCCACGCACGAAGCAAGCACGCAGTGCGTGCACTTCCTCACACTTTTCATGAATGCCGGGATGTTGCTTACGTGGCCTTCACAGTACACATTTAGACCAATCTTGGTTGGTTTTTATTTTAGGTTTCAGATTTCAATACATCATGTAAAGAAGGAACATCCACATGTGCAAGCTGCAGTCGGAGACAGACCTGACATGAACTATCATCAAACACATGTAATTTTCAGCTGATCCGACTTTTGCCATGGTCGCGCTCTGGCCTATGGCTGCCGCTAGATGATGCGTGCAGTCAGTGCTGATGCAGACGCTCAAAGATTTGACCAGCTCACTTCATGACGTTTCGGCACGCTTTCCTGGGAAGAAGTTTGGTATGACTCGTGCATCACGACGCTTTGGCCAGGATGGTGCGAGCTTGCAAAGACTGCGGGACAACCTGAACGAACTGCCGAAGAGGCCAATGCATCAACGATAAGTCAGCCGATTGCTATGCGTTGAAAGCTTCAGGTGGTTGGCTCGAGTGGAACAGCCGGAGGAGTGTCAGGGCAAGTCTCGCAGCGTCTTGAAAGGCAGTGCTCAGATTTCGTGCGCTGGGACATGTGACCAGAAGAGAATGTTAAAGAAGGCACCCACTCCTACGAGCCAGGAGGTCGAAGGGGGGCAGCCGCCAGAATGGTGCAGCACGGCTCTGCTTCATACGCTGTAGATCCACGGATGTGGTCATTCAAGCTCGCAAGCTTAAACGCGGGTGGTGGGGTCAGGGCAAGGAAAGCAGTGCAAGATCCTAAATCCCTAAACGACCCCGTACAACTGAAGCTGAAGCGGTGCTTATCCAACCTCGGCCAGTGCAAAGCGAGGCGGCTGGGAGAGCGCCATTGGGTCTATACTAGAAGTCCCAGAACATGGACATGTGCAACTCAAAGAAATTGACCTCAGCGTCGTACAGCGAAGGGACAAGCGGCGTGTTACTTGCGGGCCGCATCACAGCGATGCTCGCTGTACAGTACATGTCCAGCAAGGCGACTATCGACTCTAGGGCGGGTGGCCCACTCAGCATAAAGAAACTTACGCCAGACTTCACGGAGTGAATGCTGAAGCTGTTTAGTGTACTGGCAAACCAGGCACTGGATGGCATCAGCGAAATGCGTGTAGCATTATCACTATCGCAGCTCCACGTCCAGGGACTACTGACTGAACACCCATAATAAGAGAGAAAAAGGAACTGACTGAACACCCATAACGAGAGAAAAAGGAACGGAGGGATTGAGCAAAACCCAACTTAAGTTCCCAAGATCCAACGGGAGTTTGGCTTCTCTTGCAAAACCGGAAGAAAGGATCACCATCATTTGCTCAGAGGCGCAGCGGCGGAGGGTTGCTTCCAATTTGCGAAACGCGTGCTTTGGAGGAACTTTTGCAAACCAAGCTCATTTGGCAATTGACACTGCAGTCAAAAATGCGAAAAGGGTTTTACGGGCGGGAGGATGCGGGAGATAAGAACATCTTCGCGCAGCCACTGTGGCCTTGAAGAAACGCTTAGCGTCATCGGCAGTCATAGCTCTGCCGTTGGCTGGGGCAAATTCCACGCCAAGGATTTTTGGGTAAGTGAGTGTGCTATGAGGAGGGGCACCCGCACTAGATAAAATCTCACGGCACAGCGCGATGAAAATAATGATTTTGTTCGTCGTTCTCGCGAAGACCTAGGAAATTACCCCATACGGCCCGGGAGGCAGCAGTGCTGATGCAATCATCTGCCGAGGGGCTGACAAATGTGCGATCGTCAACGTAGGTTGCAAAGGTGGACCCTGGGAAACGGGAGGAAATATTAATGTGAGGCCCTAACCGTGTAGCTGCAAGGCCGAGCATGGATAACGCGTCTCCCTGAGGTAGGGAAGAGCTGACAGTGCAAGGCTCGGGGTCCGTGTCCCCTGCCAGCCTAGCTGGAGCCTAGCGCGGCCCCAGAGGCGCCACCAGGCGGACAAGACGCTGACAGGACGAAGGGCATCAGCCCGCACGGCCTGGTCACTGTTGCCCACACCTTTCCCAGGCTTGGGAATTTGCACCTGTCTAATTTGCTGCCAATTAGAGGGCACAATACAATGAAATTCAAAGAGGTCAAAAATTATGGCAACTTCTTTCCAAACGCACTCACGTAAAGAGGCAATGTCATCCCCTGACCAGCCGTCAATATCAGCACTAGACCCTTGTAGGGCTTTAGAGGCTTCTGCCAACTCACGAGGGGTTAGGGAATCCCAATGTTGAGAGGCACGGCAAAGGTTTGACACTAAGCCGTCAAGAACGCGAAAGACGTCGTCAAGATTGGGTGATGGACGCTGCCAAACACTGTTCCAAAACTGCTTCAAGCGCTTCATGCCTTCGAGAGGAGAATCTGCAACGGGTGAGTCATTCCAATAAAGGTTATACACGGGGGCACCACATCCCCATCGCAGGTAAGCATTCTGGCACCCGACTTACTGAGCTGACGCTCACGCGTGAGCTGCTCAATGGGCGTTTGGCCAGCAGCTCGCCCATTATGGCGCTTGCGAGTCTGACGAACGGCAAGAGGAGCAAAAACTCTTCCGGGTGTTTTTTGCTTGTGTCATTAAGGGCGACAAATGACGCATTGCTGTTACGAGGCCGGCGAGATTTAGAGAAGGACTCAGGCCTGAGACCTCTGGCTTTAGCATAGGCGATACGGAAAGTATTTTCCAAGCACTGACTGAAGCTGTGCCACAAGGCATCGACCGATTTTTGAGTGTTCGGAACCTCAGGGAGAGTCCAGAGCTGCTCCTGCCAGACTGCCGCAAGAAGATTCCGCCACTCGGCGAGGAACATGCCTTCGGGTTTGGGGTACTGATCAACCTTACAAAGCTTGATTGACTGTGCGTGCGGCAGGCACCGGGCGCATTGCACCTTGAGGATTTTGTGATCAGAAATCCTTTCGGTGCCTAAACATACCTTAACGCTGGACAAGGACAAAGTGGAGACAGCATAGTCGACAAACCTATCCCCGTACCAGCGGGTCGGCAACCATGTTCAACCCTTCCAGCATCGATGAAAGGCTCGGCGACAGCAGGATCAAGTCCTACAGCTTGTGGGGCCTCTACTGGCGTGCGGGTAGCAGCAAGATCCGGGAACTGTGCCGCAACTGAGCCTCCACAAGCGTCGATGAACGAATTTTCGCTGGGCGTTAAATTCCAATCACCAACATAAACAAACTGACAGTGGGCAAAACCAGCCAAGTGACTGTGAAGGGTTTCCAGGAAGTTGGCTGGGTGCTCATTTGGTGGACTATAGACCCCTATAAGGAGTAAACCACCTACCCACACTGCGCATGCTTGGCCTCCTGGCATGGAGACCTGGCAGCACGTGCTATGGGGGAGACCCCTTTTAATCATAACCGAAACCCCTCCATTGGGTTTGTCATTACCATATCTGTCAGAAGAAAGAGGGCCCTGCACACTAAAAACCATGTGACTGTGATTTCAATGATTCGTGCATGCAGTGTGAGGACTATCTCCTGGGCACGGTCAGAGGCGAATGCAACTACCACTTCAAGCTACATGACTGCAGCTTGAAGGGGACACAGATGGGCTAGCTTCCGACACCGGCAAGCGACCTAGTCCTGAAGGTATCTAGCAGAGGGCAGCAGTGAGAGATTACAATCCGTTTCTATCAAAGCTTCGCGGCCATGACAATTCGTTCTGAAATCTGTCCCAGGAGATTCTGAAACATGGCTGATCTTGTCCCTCATCTCCGCACTTGAAACCAATTTGTCTTCCCCGTCTCCTGGGCCAGAGATGAGCGCTTGCAAGCCTCTCCTGCATTGCTCCTGCCATCTCCTGCCCCTCTCGTGACTTCATGTTGGGAGCCTCATGGTTACATAGTGGTTACATGTTTTCTCAGAGGTATCATGAAGAAGTATTGGGGCAGCGGTTCTTTCTCCTGCTTTGTCTTCCTTGCAAATGAGTGACGAACCTCTACAACCTTAATTTCACAGTACAGTGAGAACTCATTGAGCAACATTTAGCCCATAATTTTACCATCCTGAGAGTGATGTCCTCACGTGTGCCTTGGCCGTGTTTGAATGCCAGGGTCGCTTGGGACAGTTTTAAGTGAGGAGGCTTTTGGTGCCCGTCACAATGAAGCAGTTGGTAGAGTTGGTATGAAGCGTACGCTGAGGTTTCGCTTGGAGGGCGGTGGGTATTTCCAGGCTCCCAAGTTGTCTCAGCCCTTGCAGTCAAGAGTCTTCTTGGCAGCCCAGCCCCTTGATTCCTGGCAGACTGGTGTGCTGGTGGCATCCGCGGAGGCAAGTCCTGGAGGATTGCCGGCCTCAGTCTCAGCCTTGAATTCACGTAAACATGCCAAGGCACGTATGGAAACGTCTGACATCATGTTACTTGGTCTGAGACATGGGGACACACAGCACAGCAGTCGGCTCATTGATGGACCGCAGCTGTCATGTTCAAATGTTTTGATTGACGCTGGTCGTGCAGGACTTTAGGTGGGCTCCAAGCACAAACTGCAGCCATTGTGTTGTGCAGCTCATCAAATGTCTTCAAATGCCAGGCGTTCATGATACCCATGCGCTCCCGTTTGTCACAGGCCATGCACCTCAACAATCCTCAGCATGCCAGTCGATCAACTTCACATAAGTCGTGCGGAGTCTCAAACTAGGCTTCGCTGACGAATGACACCTGCTGGCCACATATGTCTGCTTGTTTGCAGGCAGCTTCGCTGCCTCGAAGTGTGTCAGCCGCCCAGAACTGCTCAAACAAAGCATCATTTCTGCATGTCCAAATGCTCTTTCCCTTCTTTTTCGGCAGAACGTTTAAACTGCCACGCTTCATTGCATGTAGCGGTGATAGTGCAGGTATATGTGTGGGCTAAAGCCCTCGCAAAAGAAAAATAAGATACCGAGGTTAATGCTGAAGCGTCAAGGTGAAAAGGATGTTCAACGCGCTCACAAGATGAAACATTGCGGTGCAGACTCAGGAACACCGCGCGCTCAGAGGTTCTAGTTCAACATGGGAGAGTGAAGCCTGCCTTTGACGAGGAATGAGACGCAGTTGCTCACTGCATGTCACACGCACAGCCTGCCAGCGCATACCAAGCAAAATCTCTTCCCAAACTCTTCCCACATATGCCATACTTCTCCCGCTTCGAGCGGATAAGTTCAAAGTCATCTCTGGATACAGGGTTCCTTGCAGAACTCCTATCCCTGAGCTTGTGCTTGCACGCTCACGAAATCAGCTTCCTGAGTACGGTAAGATCGGCAAGCTCCTTTCAATAGGAGCTTACTTGAGCGTGGAAGCGTGCACATGCAGGATGTATAAAATTATTAGTCATTTCTTCAAGAACTGCAAGAACTGCAAGGCTGACCCGAGGACCTTTCCGAAGTTCTTCAAACACATCTGCTCCCAGGCCAGGATGCCTTCGCACATCAGCCACAGAACGCAAGTATGGTAACACTTTGCGCTATGGCAAGTCGCGGTTTCAAGCAGGAGTTGCTAGAGCCATGCTTGTGGGTTCGTTGATTTTAAGTCTCTTACTTGTTAATTACTTCCTTTGTCAGCAGGATGCCATTCGGGCTTGTTGGGTTCATTGAGATCACATTGGGCTTGTGATCCATCTGCAACGCGGCGGGCAAGGGCGCACAGTTTCGGGGATTCGGGGATCGCGTTTGCAAGTCTTTGGATGTTTACGTAGCGGGTTTGCAGCCTTGACTCTGGGCTGGTCCTAACTAAGAAGACATGCTTGCGAATGGTCAAAGCGTGTTACAGCGAGTCGTGAGTTAGTCAACTTGCTTGTAGGACATGTAGACGGCAGGCCGGCTTGTTGCAAGTCAGGAAGGATCCTCCATGGACGGGGCTGGGGTAGAGGCTTGGGTTGGGGCCCCAAGAGAGCGGGGTGGGGACAAAAGACAGGCATCAGGTGAGCGAATGGTCACATGGCCGGCTGCCTGCACCCAATCTTGTCGTGGCACCAAGCCTCCTCAGCGCTTTCTTCTGCTGTCTAGCATGCGTCTGATTTGCTGTATTGAATGTTTTCACCGTTTTCCTTGAAACGTGATGCATGGAGACAGCAATACCAGTCCTTTCATGGAATGCCATGTAATACTGTGGTGTAGATCCGACACATGGAAGCAACCACTTTCAAAGCAGCCACGTTCAAAGCAGATGCGCTCTCTTCATCTGTTGTTCAGGAAGCCACAGTTTTATGGAAGGCTTGTCAATCCCCATTCAATGAGATGCGAGGCAACTCCGCGTTTAGACAGGCCACAGGCTTCTCGCCTTGTCCGCAACGTGTCCCTTTTATCCCTTTCCGCACTCTGGGATGGCTTCCGGCCAATGGGCGTGCATTCTGGTTGCTACACCCAAAACTTCATGGTTTGGCAGCTCGCATGAATGTGCTCGAAAGGTGGTTGAGCTCTAGAGGTTGGGATTCGCAGGAGCTGGTACGAAAATAAGATGAATGACGACGTCAGATCAAAAATGGGACACTTGCCTGGACGTGTGCTCAGCCGACAGTTGCGCGGGTAAGCCGCCTGTCGTGCCAAACCATGCTATCCAACGCTGTTTCTGCATGCTCGGTCCATGGGATTGTCTTTGTCCACATGCGTGAGCGAGCAGTTGAAGACAACGTCTGCAAACATGTCGCTCGAGTTGTATTCTGTGAGCGACAGGCCATTGGAGACATGGGAAGAGGTGGAGCTGCACCGACCGAAGGTGGGTAGCTAAATGCGACATCAGAGTTGTGTGTCCGACTTCTGGATCAGGCACCAACGCTGGAAGGCTACGTCAGACCTGTTGGGGCTCCCGAACAGTTTGACATCCCAAGAGAACAGCGGCGCAGCTAAATTGAAGCGTCTGCAGCTTGGGGTCATCACGCCAGACATGATGTGCATGGCCCCAAGGTATCATCAATTCATGATGGGCAAGCCTGCAAGATATTCAGTGGAGCTCAGGCGACATAACTGGACATGTGGTTTGTTCTGGAAGCAGCGGTGGCTTCTCTCCAGGAATTTCCTGATGGGACTTGGCGTTGTAAGCTTTTGCTTTGCAGAGTTTGCCTTCACAGTCTACAAGGCGGGTACCCCTGTTGGTAGTGCTGGCTTTGAGTGTACTGTAGGGAGTAGGGACTCTAGGAGGTAGATGTGGACGCTGCTCTGACAGCTTCGTCCGGATGATCTGGACTGGGTGGATGATGAGCGCAAACGAGCAGCCGCGGCAAAGGCTCGCATCGAGGCCAAAGATGCCACGAACACAACTCAAAGACATGGCCTGCGCAAAGAGTTTTGCTGTTGTTCTAGTCAGCATCCTCCCTGTAGGCGCGAATTGCAAAGCAAGAGTCACAAGACTCAGATTAACGGTTGGCGGCTCAATTGCAAAACAATTTTGGAGCGCATGTTTTGCCAGCCTTGGCTGTAAAGATTGACGTGGCTTTGCAGGAGACCCCTGCCTCCATCACCACTGTGAGATTGTGTGTGAGAGAGAGAGAGAGAGAGAGATTTCCCGTAGCCATTTTGGCTCAAGTCTCCTGCCGCCTCTTGTGGCTTTGCTGCGAGGGGCCCCCCGGAGTGGCCCGCGACAGTGGCAGAGGTTGGGCTCTGCTGTCGTAGCGGGTGGACGCCTTGGGGGGGGGCTTGGGCGCCTCGAGCAGCCGTTTCCAAGACAAGGGCTCTTGAGCTCTCATCCTGACACGCCCCTAGACCTTCCCCGAGTGCCTACCAAGAACATAGCTCTTGCGGAGCCGTGCCGGAGCCTTGAGGACCGCGTCGGTGACTGGGCCGAACAGCTTTGCGTCTTCCACTTGCCAGCTTTTCCGTCGAGGGCAACGTCGCTCCAGGAGGGTGGCCATGTCGACTGGGCAGAATGTGGAGAGAGGACCGGATGCCGTGGAGGCACTGCGAAAGGCCGCAGCCACTCCTATCGAAGTTGACGTGGACGACCTCCAGAACAAGCCGGCTGTGATTGCAAATGGTGACTCGCCCTCCAAAAGGACGCGCTGGGATGTGACATCGCAGTCCGTTCCAGGTGTCAAGCCAGAGATCGCCCAGGCAGCCGGGATCAGCCTGGCGGATCTGGCGGCCGCGCTTGCGCCGCTCACTGACGGTGTGCTTGAGATGAGGCAACGCATCACCAACATCGAGAACCAATTCGCAATCAAAGTCGATAAGACGCTGGACATGGTTCAGGCAATCGACCAGCGGCAACGCAACCAGGGAGTACAGCTACAGCAAGTTCAGGACACGATCAAGGACCAAAAGGAGAGAGAGAAGGTGACAGGTGAGACGATTAACGACATCCTCCGAAGAATCGAACTACTGGAGGACGGGCAAGCAGCAACAAAGCCTTGAAGAACAAGCCTCTTCGACGGGGAGACTGGAAATGGGCCACGAGCCCCGGCACTGATTATGGGGGGATGGGACACGAGCTTGGATGAGGCAGAGGTGCAGCAGAAGGCGCGCTCCTTTGCAGACGAAATTGCTTTGGACATAGACCTCTCGGAAGCTTTCATGCCGGGCAAGCAGAAGGGTATCCTGACAGTGCCGCTTGCACCTCGGGGGGGTGAAGACCGCCTCGGGCTGCAAAGACGTGCAATCCAAGCAGTAGAACTGGTCAGGAAGCTGCCAAACCCAGCGGGACAACAGACCCCAAAGGCCGGCTGCCAAGGTCTGGTTAGCGATTAGCGAGCCTCAGAACAGAGACGTAAGACAAGGCAACTGTCGAAGACCAAGCATGCGGTTCTGGAGATAGCTGAGAAGCAAGGCGCACACCTAGTGGTCCGGGCCGAGTAAAGACAGGGACACTCTGGCTGGGCCAGCAACGAATTGCCGGAGTTGGGCAGCCTCCCGCGGGCATGGAGACAAAGGTCGGAGTATGGATGGCTTGACGCAGACGAGGTGGCACGAGCAACTGGGGAGCAGAAAAAGGCAGTGGAAGCTGCCTGGCAATCCCTGGTGGCGACCATCAACTGACCTACCGAGGAAATCGCTGACACCTGCGTGCAGACCTTGGAATTAATGGAGGAAGCCAGGATGTACAGAAGCACAGACCGCGACCTGGTTACCCAGAATGACAGGACCGCCGTGGCTGCCAGTCAAGGGCAACGCAGGCGGCAACTGGAGAGGCAAAGCGCGCAGAGAACTGGCGAAGCCAACCCTGGGCCTGCTGAGGCGAGACTGCGCGTAGACGCGCCGCCCCAGCGACCCGACTCTGGTGCTGAGTGTTGAAGGAAGACCAAGTACAGGGAGGCCATTGAGGGGATCATCATGCGGAGCCCTGGCTCCCTGTAGCACAGAAAATCCACATCAGCAGTCTTCCAAGTTAATTGGATGCTGCTTCAAATGGTGCTTCTTCACTCGACAAAACGCACTGTTTTGTCCTAAACTTTTCCTGGAAGATTTCCTTCAGGAAAATGTTAGGTTTTTCCGGGTTTGGTCCAGGATTAATCCGGGAGTAACGT